CGGGGCTGCCCCGCTCCTCCCGGCTCCTTGGGGTGCTTTTATGGAGAGCAGGGGGGCAGCCGGGGCCCGGGGGGCTCCCACTTGGGCTCAGCCTCCCTCCTGGGGGAGTTTTTGGCCAGGGGACGACCCCACAGGAGGCGTTCCCCGAGTCCTTGTTCGGAGCCGCGAGCTGCCCCGCCGCGGGGCGCACGGCTCGCCTCCACCAGGGCGTTTTGGGGAGAAGACGTCCCCTCGGGGCAGGTTATTCCTTATCTCACCCTATACCCACATCTCGCCACCCCACGGGGCGGGTTATTCCCTATCTCACCCCATACCCACACCTCGCCCCGCTGTGGGGCCGGCTGTTCCCTATCTCGCCGCCGTACCCACGTCTCGCACCCCAAAGCGCAGTCGGCGGCCGCTGGCGCATCCAGCTCAGCCGGGCCGGGTGTATCCGGGGCTGATCGGCCCCGGCGGCGCAGGCGGGGAGTTTTTGGGTAGGGTTTGGTGCTCGTGCTCCATCCCAAGCCGCTCGCTGCCTTTCCCCGCAGGCTCCGGCCCCGTTCGTGGCGGATCCAGGCCCTGCGCCGCGTGGGAACCGCGTTTCCTTCGCGGGGGCTCGGGATCCCGGCCCCGTCTGGCTCCCTCCTCGCTCCCACGGCGCGCTTCCCTCACGGGCAGGGAGGGGAAGGATGACACGGGCGCTTTTTCGGACCAAATCGGGTGTGAGGAGAGGGCTCCCGGCACGCGGGGCTGCTGCTGGTGCTCGGTGACCCCCGCCGCTCGCGGTACCGACCGGTGGCATTCGGCAACGGGGCTCCGAGCGGGGCGCTGCCCCCTCCTCGCTTTTCGTGGCCCCTCGTGCTGCTGCCGCCGGTCCCCACGGGCACGGCTCGTGGCTCTTGAGCAACGGGAGCCTTCTGGACACGCTCCTGGGGCACAACTCCGGGCCCTTGCCCTGCTTGGCACAACCGGGGCGCTCCGAGGGCGCCCGCGCGCCACGCTGCGGGTCTGGGGACCCAAGCGAGGGCCGTGGCCGGACCCTCGTGTCCCCTCCGTGGGCACATTTTACAAAACCCAAGGTGCAGCCTCCCCGTAGGGACCTGGCATTACCAAAATTTGCAGCACGCAGACAATTAGAGACGCGGGGAACGGCGCCTGCTCTGCCAATAAACGAGCAGGGCTGCTGCGCTCGCGCTGGCTTAATTTTGTATTTTTTATTTTTTTTTCCCTTTTTCCTCCTTTTAATTAAAATCCTTAATTTAAACAAAGCTCTCGCAGAATCCCCTGCCTGCTGCAGCGAGGTTGCTGCTGCAGGAACCCAGGATTTGAATTTGGTTAGCTGCAGCGTGGACGGGGCTGGGGGGGGGGGGGCTTTGCATCTGATTTGCAAAATGGAAATCGGTACCCACGGGCCGAGGCTTCGCTCTGCCGCTCTCCTTCGAAAATAAAAACTAAAAAATAAATAAATAGGGAGGAGATTTGCTGCAGAAAAGCCCCAAAATGAGCAAGGTTGGACCGCAGCCTCCTGGCACTGCGGGGTTTTTTTTTTTTGGCAGCCTTGGGGGGACCCCGGTGCGGACGGGGCCGCGCGCCCTGCGCTTCGCTCCGCCGGCAGCACCCTGGCGAGGCTGCGATGTGGCTCTGCGCACAAACTTGGGAGCAGACCCATCATTACGAGCTTCCCCCGTGCGTCATCGCTCAGCAGCCGAGCGGCCGGGCCCCGCCGCGGGAGCAGGGGGGCATTTTTGGGACTGAAGCCTGCACCCGCGTGGGCAGGGACGAGGAAGCCGCCGGGCGCTGCACGTGCGCCGGGGCTGGATGCAGGCCGGGCAAACGCCGTCTCCTTCTGCAGCGCCGTGGGGATGGAGGGGGGGGGAAGGGGAGGAAGTTGAATCATTTTTAGCTGAAATTCCTTCCTTCCTTCCTTCCTGTCCCCAAATATCGGGAGGCGGCCGGCACGGGAAGGGCTGCGGCTGAGCAGGGCTGCGGGCTTGCAGCGGGGAGCGGCGCATCGGCACGGTGCTGCCTCCACCGCCGCATCCCGACGCCGTGCCCCCGCCGGCAGCGAGTCGGGCACCCCCCGGGACACGCATTTCCCTCCCCAAGTTGTGGTTTTTGCCGTTGTTTGCCCCGATTTGTCGCTTTTTCCCGCAGCTCTCGCCCCGCCGGCGAGGCCCGTGCCAGCGTGCCCGGTCCGAGCGTCGTGTCCCCGGGGGGGGGGACTGCAGGCAGCAGCCATTTGGAGCCCTGGAAGGAAAAAAAGAGCTGGAGGCTGACCCACTTTGCGGGTTTGATTCCGTTCCCCTCTTAATTTTTTAATTGTGCCGTTCGCTCTGCGTGGGCTCCTCAGGTGGCAGCGCGGGCCGGGCCCTAGGTGCTTGCTCTGGAGCGTGGGTGCTGATTTTTCTCCCTTTTTATTATTTTTTTTCCCCCTTTTTTGAGTTGAATTGGCCAGAGCGCCCTGTCCCCAAGGAGACAAAGAGGGAAAGGAGCTGGGCAGAGCTGGCGGTGCCCACCACGACCCCGCTGGGTGCTGGGCTGTCCTCGTGCCTCGCCGTGGGGACCTCAGCACCCCCAGCGTGCTGCCAGGGGGGAGATCCCAACCAGAGATGATAATTGAGCTAAAAATAGCCGGAATCGGTAGCAAATAACCTCAGCCTAGTAATGTGACGTGCCCTGGGCCCAGCGGAGCGTGGGACACCCGAGAGGTTGGGGGGGGACGGGGACGCTCCAAGGGCGAGCGGCCGGAGCCTGGCCCTGCTCCTGCTGTGCCGGGACCCCGATGAGTCAGGGGCGCTGGCGTGAGTCAGCCGGCAATTCCCGAGGAATTTTGGGCCCCAGAGGAGCCTGAAGGGCCGTGGAGCTAAAGTTTGTAGCAAAACCTGAGCGCCGATCCCCCTGCGGGTGCTGGTTTGGGACCCGAGTCGGGCCGGCACGAGCGCCCGCGCAGCCTTTGGTTAAAAACGGCCCCA